GAAACACATTTGTTGAATAAGAGAACATTTACCTCACATGTTGATCAGCTGTTCTCACCGTCTGTCCGAAACCGGTCCTGGTACCAGAGCGACTGCACCCACAACTGCAGCTGGACCCTCCTCCCGTTGTCGGCGTATTCTCAGTTATTTCTGTAATGTGAAAAAAATTGCATTTCTTTCTCTACGTCTCCAGACAGCATGTAAAATCGCCAGAACTAGRTGATATGACAGAATAATTGCAACTTTCCCGACAGTAGCAACACGTTCCTGATAACTTCTCTCCATTTTCCTGAGATGRGARTTTTACTTCCTGTTTACTACACYCATGRGTCTGACGTAGCTGATTTGCTTCAAGCCAGTTGATGGAAACACGTCTGATTTGCATTATTTCGTTTTTTTCCTTTGTGCGAAATTTTAAAAATTTGCTCACAATTCGAATTCGAATTGGATGGAAACACTTTGTGAGATACAAGGCCACTTCTGGTCTTAGGCAGTGAATCACAACACTTACAGCCCATTTTCAGACTCTTCTATGAATAAGTAACACTGCAACACTCATTAAAAAAAAAATAATCTGACAAGCAAACAAACAGTAAAACCGTACAACAGCGATCAAGGCCGATGAATCTCAGTGACCATGAGACAGGTTGCACACATTAGTACTCAGCTCATTTTCCAAGAAAATAACAGGAAAATATCCTCCCCTGTTTATTAGCATGTCTACCTGGATTTGTGGTTTCTGGTAGAMAACTGGCCAGAGCAATGACAGTTTTGATTATTTGATAAGTGGTAACGTTTAGCTGTTTTAGATCATATTTGCTAAACTGTTTCCACCCTTAACAGTGAAACTGCATTTCCTTCTTGTTTTATTTATTTATTTTTTGATGGACAAATGAAATGATGTATGTCCAAATGAACCAAATCAAGTTCTACATTGGTAACATCACAGCCAAACCAGAACTTGTCAAATCTAATAGATTTCCAACAAAATCCAAAGATAGCTACCAGCTAATCCACCAAAACATGGTTATCTTCCTCTGTTCCTCACAGCAAAAGACAGTTAAATGTAAACTTCCATCAAACAAGTACAATCAGAATGATTCTCTTCAGTMTCAACACACTTGCTGGCTGTCTGACGTAACCTGTCTGAGACTGTAGATCGGGGTGTCAAATTCATTTTCACAGAGGGCCACATGAGCATTACAGTGGCATTCAAAGGGCACAACTGTAAATACCTTTGACGTTTCATGTTTAACTTGTCTCATTGCCACGGCCAAACACCGCTAACAAATAATAACTGAGCTCCACGTGGTATCTCCTGCATAGAAACAGTATTTTAACATGTCCTCTTATAAACGCTGAAAAGTACTAGGTGTACAACTGACTAAATGTGAAATAAATAATACTATTAAAAGTAAGAGTTTTACTCACTGTTGCGTTGTGGAAAATCTTGAATTTGGATCTCTCCCACTTAATTTCCATGCATATTTGAGAGATGCAGTTTGTGATCAATGCTGGCTTGAAATCAGCTTATTTTGAGACATTAATAAAGGTCTATTCAAATAAATTGCTCAGGGGCCCACAGTTGCTCAAAGCCAACAGGCCAGGAGCTGAAATTTTGTTGCCTTGAATCAATAACAAAGTTTACCATATATATATATATA